AGGCAGCCCCCCAGGCTGCCGGGGAGCCTAAGAATCCATGGACTCGGAAACAGTCTCCCCAGGTTCAGCCCCTCCTCCTCCCCCCGCTGTCGCGATCGTGAGGAGGAAGAAGCGGCCGGCCTGACAGCCTCTCCTCTAGGCGGGAGCGAACCCAGTTTCCCCCCTTCATGGGCCGCCCTGCCGCCTCCCAGCTCCGTTCCAGAGCAAGTTCAACGGGACATGTTCCACACGGAGTGCTTAACTCGGGCCGGCGTTCCTGTCACCGGACCCGCCAGAGTGAAAGAGAGCCAAAGTTCGCAGTGTTGTTTCACAAGCACTTGTTTCGTGCATTCTGTATTAAAAAAGCCCCGACACACGCATCTAGGCAGTTTGCCGAGGGCGCTGTTGAGTGTTGCAAAACACATGAAAAAAACAGAGCAACGTCTGCCATAACGCAGCCCGTGGAGACTCGCGTTTTCACGGCTGTGATGATGCAGATGAGCCCGTGACCTCGTTCGCCTGTGACAGAGGTGATGGGACACCGAAATGGCGTATGTTTCGCGCTGCGACCACAAGGGGGTGGCAAAACGCCATCTTCGGTGGAGTGGCCAGTGAGGCCGAAGGTTGTCGGCACATGTTCCCCTATAGAACTGCCGGCCTTTTGCCCACCGCCTTTCTCCTCAGAGGAGCAACAGCGGCTGCATACCTTGTGTCCAGTCTGTGCTCTGCGCATTTAAATGGACCGAAACCAGAGTGTCAGACAAAGTGACCAGCTGTTCGTGTCCTGGGCTAAACCACATATGGGAAAGCCTGTGTCTAAACAGCGCCTCTCCCAATGAATAGTAGGAGCAATTGCCCTGGCCTATACTAGCAGGGGCCTTCAGCCCCCTGCTGGCTTGCGTGCGCATTCCACTAGAGGTCTGGCAACCTCATGGGCTCTCTTTAGGGGACTTTCTATTCAGGAGGTGTGTGCAGCTGCATGCTGGACCTCACCTAATACATTTGCTAGGTTTTACAGGTTAGATGTGACGGCACCTAACCTAGCGCATTCAGTCCTCAGTGCAGGCTCTTCCCGGGTGGGGGCTTCTCCCCTGTGAAGTGCTGTTGGGGTCAGTTGTCATCTTAACAGGCATGTCTGGCAATCCGGGAGTCAGTATTTCTCCCATAGTGAGACACGAAACGAATGCTATGAAAGAGAACTTAAGGTTATGTATATAACCCCGGTTCTCTGAGTGGCATGAGTGAGTGTCTCACCAGACCGCCCTCCTTGCTATGGAAGCGAGGAAGAGGTGGGCTTGTTTTGAATGACATCTGACGCTATGTCAACCTATTATATAGGGAGGCACTGGCCCCTCCTGACTTGGGCGTCACCTAGCCAGCCTGTAAGGGCTGGCGTAATGGTATAGGGCTTTGGAGTTGACGTCACGCCGCAATGCATTGTGGGAGCGCGGCACCATTTTCGGGGTCTACGAATCAAAACAAACACACTGTGTTGGAACGACGATTACAAGATGCTTAAAAGCAGCTCAAAAGAGAATGGACTGTATAGAGACCGATTTCGTTCAGAGGCGAAGCGGCGGTACCTGCAGAAAATAGCGTGCATTGGAAATGTGGACCCGTATGAAATACGCCGTACAAGTCGTCATTCAAACAAAGGTAAGTCAGCTCGAGTACTGCGAGTAAAATGCGTTTGATTTCCCTGCAAACATTCACATTAGTGCAGCATAAATTTATTCATGAGGGGAAATTACAGTGAGAACATGTGGAGGCTGTTAGGTGGATAACATAGTGAGTTCAGTGCATTGATGTGACATTGTCCTGAAGGATTGTTATTCTTTATGGTTAAAGAAATTGCACTAATTTATTCATATTTATTATAAATAATCCTAATTATACATCTTGCTTCCATGTTTGTATCTTGTGTCACTAAAAATACATTTTATTTTAGTTTTATACATTGATTAATGACCTGCAGAATCTCCTTATCATATTAAGTGATTCATAATTGTCACTTTATGCTTTCTCCATCTCTACAGTGATGACATCCTTGCATTACATACTTTAGGTTCATTTTCTGCAGGCAGGTTTCTGACAGAGAACAGGCAGATTTACACTATAACATGTAGATGGACACATAAAGAAATGAAAAATTACATGTATGTGCTAACTTTCTAAACACTTTGTTACATTTATGATAAAGTAGATAAAACACATTTATGTCGGCCTTGGCTCATAGTTCTTGTCTTTAAATGAACTTTGTGTGTGTTTCAGGTACTGCACTCTCAAAGACTGAATGAACCAGCATTGCAGCGATGGGTCACTGTGAGCATCACAGGGAAGGTTGAAGCCGCCCACTGCACCTGTAAGGCCGGAGTCGCGGAGACCTGCACCCACGTCACTGCTCTTCTGTTTAAAGTAGAAGCAACAGTGTTGATCTGTGGCACAAGGACTGTTACAGATGAACCTGCATACTGGGTTTTGCTGGGTAATGTGACCAAGATACAGCCAGAGGTTGGCCATAAGATAGACTTCTCCTCTTCAGCTGCCCAAAAAAAGGTTCTTGATCAAAACATAAACAGACCATCCGTAGTGACAGGTAAAAGGAGCCGTCCTCAAAAAAGAAAAATCCCACCTGCTACTGTGGAGGAGTTGTCACTGCTATAATGCCATAATGTTTTATCTAGGGGTCTAGATTTATGCCTGTAGTGCACTGGTGTGTAAATAATTTGCATTTCCTGAATATGTACTGACTGAGTATCACTGTTCAAAAGTTGAATAAAGAAACAAACTAATTTTTGCTCTTTTTTTTTTTAAAAATAAAACCACTTTATAGAACATGACATCAGTTACAATGTAAAATCATCTATAGTTTACAAATGACAAAATGTTTACATAAAATCATGACAGTGTTTACATGATATCACCCACTACTAACATTACTTTATTTACTGTATCTTTTGAAAAAAGTACCGCTATTTATACAGCACAAGACTTAAGAATATTTAACAGGAGCAGGTTTCATTTTTCCCTGGTTTTATTATCACACTGTTCACCAAACGCAGCAAACCTTCACCATCTTATCCAGAAGGGTCACCTCTTCACCCTCACATGGAAGAAGTAATCTGATTGGCATGGTGGTATGTTTGAAGCAGGTCCCTTGTGTAGTGCTGGAACCCAGTCATGATGTTTCATCCATTTCATCGGCTGGTTTGCTGCAATAATGCCAAATAATTAGCAACTCTAATAAATAGAAGGTAGTTCTGCAAAATCACTCAGTAGGATGTTTGTTCTAATTTGCTATGAGCTCAGAGTGCATCAAAAATAAAACTAATAGGCTATAAAGAGTGATATGAACATATTTAGAACTTACCGGAATGAAAATGTCAGGAGCATCAACAGATATTTGGAGATGGAAGAGAACTCGATATCAGCTCGTCTCACAGCTCCTATCCAGGCTAGACGCCTTCGTTTGGTAACATCGATACACGAGCTGCCTCATGTTGCTTCCAGGTTGGGAAAGAATGAAAAGACAAACCCTTTTCAAGCTTATTCTCTTGGGGGTCGTGCGATCGAACATTGCAGCAGACCACACAGCAAGAACGAACCATGACTATGCTTTCGCTCCTTTTTCACTTGGACCCCCAAAATGGCGGATCGGGCCAAAATCCTTTCCACGCCCACCCCCGTGACATCACGCTCCAAAGCCCTATTTGAGCTTCTGATGAGGTCACGCAGGAGGCGTTCCCATAGTGAGACACTCACTCATGCTACCCAGAGAACCGGGGTTATATACATAACCTTAAGTTACAGTCTGCACTGTAGACCCGCTTGCTGTAGATTTTGCCATGTTGTTAGTGTTTTTCAGGGAACACAACAGGGAACACGACTGAATTAATGGAGTAATATAGATAAACATGACTTTTCTTTCTGTCAGTCAAGGGCTTTTGTTAATACTTGTCAATACTACGAATTTTAGACTCTAAACTTGATGCTGTGATGATTTCTGTGATAATGAATTTATGAAAATGATGCCTACTAAAAACCAAAGCAGCCATTAAAAAGCATACAGCAAAATATATTATAGTGTGAAGCTGCAATGCCTTCTTTCATGTCCCAGTTTTTATTGTCTTGCTTTTTCTTTTCTTTTAGATTGTACTAATGTAGTTTTTTTAATATGCCACTATTTGATTGCCACTTTCAGATATAATCATGTTATTTAATACATTTTCAATGTGAAGTGATAGAGAAGACTGCAGTACTCCCTGGGCAATATATTTTATTCTATTCTCATATGAAATTCACCTCATCAACCAGAAGTAAACATCTGAGTAGCATTTGCATACAAAGTTTGCTGGTATTGGCTTGCTGTTACCAGAGTATGTAGCTTGTTGTGCAACTCCTAATTTTACTTTGAGCCTCTAATGGAATATAAAATAAAAACCTAACACAGTTTTCTCTTTCCACCAACATACACCTGCCAAATGCATCACATTTGTGCAATAGCAATAATACCAAGTGGAATACACTTTTCTGGCATCATTGTATTATACTCAATTGTATATAGCATTTGTATTCTATTTTATTCGATTGTATATAGTATTTTATTTTATTTTATTCTATTCTATTGTGTACAGTATCTCATAGATATATTATTCCAGTGTTTTTTCTCTAATTTTTCTATGCAACTTTGCACTGTCCACTGCTGTAACAACACAAATTTCCCACACGTGGGACTAATAAAGGTTATTTTATCTTATCTTATTTCAGAACGAAGCATGCATCTGCAAGTGATGAGATGCTTGCACTTTTGTTTTAGGGACTTTGCATAAGGAAATCACCAGTTTGTTCCACTGTATTCAAGAACAGGGTATAGCAATATCTCCAAATGATAGTACAGTAAAATTATTCACATTGTCCCTTTAACTGTATTTATTAATGCACATCTAATTAAGGGAACCCTGTGACACCAGCATATTTGTATTCTTACCAATGCTCTTTTTCTTTTTTTTTTCATGTTCCAGAGCTGAGAAGCAGCTCGTGTGGAAACCCAGGAGTTCCACCCAAAGGCATACTGAATGGAACTCAGTTCAATGTAGGTGACAAGATCCGTTACCGATGTGTCACAGGTTATGTCCTTGATGGGCATTCGCTCCTCACCTGTGTCACCAATGCAGCTGGCGTGTCAGTGTGGGACTTCCCGGTGCCAATCTGCAGAGGTGAGGATACTTGTTATTTGAAATGAGTTACTAATTGCATGTGAGGTGAAGCTTGTCTTTTTCTAACTTTTTTTTTTCCATCTGGGCAATGTGACTGCGGGATATCATTGGGAATACTTGATTTTATCTACATATTCCCCCAAGAAACTGAAAATAAGTAGGTGATTGGTTTCTTTTGACTCCTCTCATTTGGTTTCCTCGAGTTGCTCAGTGTTAATTGCTTTTTAAAGATTGACAGTTTGATGGCTGTTTTGTCTGGGCCACAGATGTAGCAAAGTCTGGCATAAGTCCTCATTAGCGAAATAAATATATTTGCAATCTGATAGGAGGGAAAAATTTTAATCGTGTAGTGGAAGTTGATTAGAGTCTCCATGGCTCAAAAGGTTAATTAAATATTTATTCCTGTAGAGCAAGTAGCTTGTATATGTTAATACTGTTAGGAGGAGCTGCATATCCACTTGGTTTGTGCAGCTGTATGTGGGCTATATGTTGCTGCTTTGTAGGGACTGTAGTTTTTTTTTTACCCATTTATCCATCCATCTATGATTTATGTAGCAAATATGAGCACCCTATAGGCTATGAGGAAGCTTCTCAGTCAGTTGTCTAATCACTACATAAATTCTACAAATTGCAAATAACATGAACCTATTATTTATGAGCGAAGAGCAAAAGCCAAAATCAATTTAAAGCGTTGAGATCTTTTAGAACGAAGAGAAGAAGAAAAAAGCGTATCCGTTACGACTCAGTAGCCTTTCTGACTTTTATCAGAATTTCATGTTTTTTATTCTGTTTCCTTATTAGAAAATTCCCAGTACGTATAAAATAAAAATGTTGCCCGAATTCAGAAAGTTGCTGTACATCTTTAATTTGCCTCACCAAGCTCTTCTGCTCATACACCATCAACATGATGATGCTTTTTTTCTGACAGGTGGTTGATGAATGACTGACTACTATGCTTCACATTATGCAGTTTACCCCTTTCTGTGAGAGCCGTTCCCAGACTGACATAAATAATCTGCTCTTACATATGTAGAAAGCCGCTGTGGTGGTGTGACGTGTGGTAGGAATTGTAGGTCACATTAGACTTTCAAATCTGTCAAAGGATTTTGAAAGACAGGTCATAAAAATATTTTCATTTCAATCTTAATTTTTATTTATTATATTGAGCTACATTTGAAAGCTGTATTTAATTTTCAAAAACAACTCAATTACAATAATAACTAATATGTAGAACATTTATGAGAGATTTGAGAGAACAGAGGAACAGAGACTTCAAAGTCACTTCTTTCAACACCACATGAAGCAAATGATTTTCTTTTCCCTAATGACAGCAGAGGCCACTAAAACACCACCGCCATTGTGCCTACGCAGGCAGATATGGAGCTAAATGGACTTAAACTGAATGCTTGCTTGATCGGGGGATATTATTGCTGAATCGATTGTCATTCGGTTTTGCAGCAGACTTTTCACTCCTGATTTTATTCTGCAGACTGAACCTGCACTCTGCTGACACACTGGACACTGAAGCCAGCAGCATAAAACCAGATTTTTAATGTCAGGCAGCATTTTCTCCAGGGACGTGAACAGAAGTTGACAAGACTGTGTAAACATGGGACATCCAGTTCCTGTTAGCAGGATCATTACCAGGGTGCAAGACTAGCTGCACAGCTGTGTGCCCCATTACGAGCACAGACACACTCTGAGATCGTGAGGGAAAATTCTACGATGCAATCTTGGATGTTAAGAATGAGGCAGATTTTCAGTGCTTTTAGAACAGTTTTCGACAGAGTAATGCATGAAAAATGTAATGTTCTGTTAAATTGCCAGCACTTAGGAAAGCACTAGTTGATATCTCATTGGATATGGGTCCAATCCCGATATAAAAACCAGGATTTAGAGTCATTTTAACAGGCAGATCTAGTTGTTATTTATTTCAGCTCAGTTCCATTTTCATGTCTTTACTATTGCACAGATCAGCAGTGGTGCATTGGATTGCTAACTTGGCATCACAAAGCTAAGTGTTTTTGTATGTCATATTTATAATATGGTGAAGGTTGTACATTTAGCTTTTCATTTACTTTTCCATGTTCCCTTAACCCCAAAGTTACATTTGTATAAGGAATATTATTTTGAGCCGGGGAAAATCTTTTATTTATTCATTCGTTTTTTAGAGACATAAAAAAAGACGTAGTTCACCATATGCACATAAATATCGGAGGAGGAGGAGAAGGATTACAGGCCATTCCTGTGTGCAGATTTCTGCCTTTCTATGTAACATAATTATCTGCTTTTTTGTTGCCTTGCTGATGTGTGAATATGCAGGCTTAGCTTTTTTTTTTTTTTTTTTTTTTTAAGTACAGTACCTTACAATATTTGCTGAATTAAAAAACAAAAGCTTCTGACTTCACTTTTCATCCTATAGTTTTCATTAGCTGGATGAAAAGTGTGAAATATTTGAATATTTTATTTTAATACATTGGTAATTTTAGATTACTGGGTCTAAGTCATTCAAAAGTAAAGAGTGAAGAAAAATAGTTATAAAAATGAAGCGAAGGTCTCCCCACTCCATCTGAATGTGAGATTCTAAGAAATCCCAAAGCCAGCAGAGCAAATTTGCTCATGCCAACTCATTCTACAGTGCAAGGCACAGCTAAATGAAAATGGCTCAGCATATGTTTGAAAAATGGCAAGCTTGGAGCAAACAAAAAGCTGCAGATGGAGGGCTCCTTTTCATTTAAGGATGGTGTTAGCTTCTATTGCCACAGGCCAGAAACATCGCTCCTTTCAGGCCCGGGCACTGCTTGAGCCACACTCTCTCTCGTCTAAATCCAGGCCGGCTCCTGTATGTGGGCAGATGGTCCTTTGATCTCGTTTCCTCAGAGATCCTGCCCTTTCTGCTCATCACCTATTGTTTCCCACTAAACACATGGCTGCAGAAAATCTCTCTCCAATCCACTGTTCACCCCTGCCATCTCCCAACACCTTAGTCTTTCAACCAGTTCCCATCTGCTGTTAGTTTCTCCTTCTCGTTCACTTTTCTTCCAGTATTTTTCTGCAGCCCTGTCTAACAGCATGATCAAACATTTTATGCTTGTAGAACCTACAGAAATAATGATGATATGCATCTACTTGGGCATTTTTTGAGCTTGAGCAGCTGTGGCGCTGACTCGAATTGGATGCTAGATGGGTGGGGAGGTAGAAAGTATCATTTTGGCTGCACCTGAGTGGACAATCACCCCTCTCAAGTTAACTGCTACATGATTTTAAAATCAAACCAACATTGCAGCGCTATCTTATTTTTAAACTGTTTTGGGGAAAATTCTGCTCTGTTTTCGTTTTAGATAACAACGTTATCTAAAATCAAAATACTAAAGTTAATTCATCCTTTGCTATAAGCTTATCTGTACTTCTCAGTTTGTAAGAGACTGTCTGACCCGAACAGCTTCAACAACCGCCCGTCTCAGTTCTGTTTTTACGGTTGATTACTGAGTTTTTACCGGGGAGACGGCGTAGGGGTTTCAGCCATGTTTGCTTGAAACACAACACAAAGCTATCAGAACATGCTGCACGGCTGGCTACATTGATTATAAATGTGAACATTATACCATACTATGAGGAATAGCAGACGGGGTTTCTGCCAGTGTATTACAAGCCCAGGGGGCTGCTAGGGCTAAGCATTTTTTTATGCAAGGCTAAGGATTTTTTAAATAAGTTAGTGAATGTATCTTATTAACCTACTGTTGCCATTAGCTGTTTTACGTCCAAAAATCTATAAAGAAAATTTAAAAAGGAAATAAAGAGAAGCAGACATATGATTTAACCTTATACTGTTTTACTTGTTCCACTGATATCTGTCCACTAATCATGGATTTTGGCTTTAGCTGTCTTTGCCTTATCCAAACAACGATAATTGTGATTCAGTGCTCTCTTGGTGGCAAAAGCTGTAAAAGTGAAAAATAACTATGTTTTTCTCTGTGTCTCTGTTGCTACCTACTGATGCACCTAGGCCAGCAAAGCTCCGCTTTTCTGTCTATGACTCACATTGTGCGTTATCCAACCTTGCACACCTCTCCACCAACACCACCTGGATAAGCAAAATTAGAAAAGTGCAAGAAGATGACCAATACCAACCTCCAATGCAAATGCTGTGTGTAAAGATGGCTAATGAATCTTTGTAGAAACCAAATTTGACCAACATTAAACGTCATTACTTACGAGCGTGGAATTATCAGATATGAGAATATTTGTCTTAATTAAATTAAAATTGGTCACTGCAGTGTTAACCCTGAGGGCGCAACATAGAAGATGGAGAAATTACCACAATTTTCTTTTGCTCAATATCTCTGCAAGTCAGACTATCAACACACTAACATCACATTTCTTTATTTCTTTTATTGAGATCAATAGAATTTATAGCTTAGACAATATGTAGCAGTTGCCAGATCTGAAGGAATCCCACAAAAAAATCTTCATTCTCCATTTAGTTCCTGTGAAGCTAACATATTGCTACTATAGTTATTTTTCCATATAGATGAATTATAAGTATGTGTTTAGCAGCGAGCACTGCCTTTTTCAAAGAAACAATAATGTGTGAAACAGTCACAGAGAATCAGAGCTAAGTAGATATGAGTGGGATGGCATAAAAGTCAAAGGTGCTGAAGGATTGATGTAAAAGAAAAAAGAATAAACTCCAAGCAGAGAGGCTGTTAGATGGAGAATTAATGGCTCTTCTAATTGTGAGTTACTGCTTCTCCTCCCAATTGCCCGTTTTGATTCCTTCAATCTAAATTGTCTCAGGACATTCATTAAACCAGGCGGTGAGACAGCAAACAGGGACAGCATGGCAACAGGAGAATATGGTCTATTGATACACTGTCATTCTTGCTGCCAGCAACTGTCTAACAGAATAAAAAATTAGGCCACAGAAAACCTTGCTTCTTTAAAACATTTTTGTGCCAAATAACGTGAGTAGACGGGACTAAACACAGTTCTTCCTGTCA